TATTCGTAATAGGTTGAAGGTCAGGATTAAAGAGATCCGGTGAAATATATTTCATCACCAGTACTAGAAACCTGAAATCTAGCAATATTCGAATGGTTGGAAGGTCAGGATTAAAGAGATCCGGTGAAATATATTTCATCACCAGTACTAGAAACCTGAAATCTAGCAATATTCGAATGGTTGGAAGGTCAGGATTAAAGAGATCCGGTGAAATATATTTCATCACCAGTACTAGAAACATGGTAAAATCTTCAAGTGAAGCTAAAGTTAATCATGAGTCTTGATTTAAGTTACTCAAAAGAAAGTCACGTGGTTTTTAAAAGCAAAAAAACCTTACTTAAAACTTATAAACGAAACAATATCGACTTCAATAGAATTAAATAATAACTTTAGAACATACTTTAGGGATTCTTTCTCGAATTTGTCTAGGAATAGCTTCATATTCATAATGGGAGGGGAAGAAACCTGTAACCATGGGCACCGATCTCTATTGAAAGGTTGGGGGGGGGTTAGAAAATATTGCTTGACGTTATTAATTATAACAAAAAATATATCTTGTAAAAATTGTATCTTATAGTTTGCAAAAATATAAACATATAATTGGAATATATATAGAGGACCTGTCCCCCCTCATGATCGGCGCCTATGCCTGTAACTCCGATAATCCATCTCGACTCAACTTCCCTATACTGGATAACCAGGATTGCAGCTGTAAACTGGAGTTGTAACACAAAACAAATAGTAAATCAATGTAAACCTGTACAATAAAATTACCTTTAACTGTTTTTTATAAATGAATTTCATAATATAAAAACGACAGTTCTTTTAAAAGTTATCCCAATTTCTTTTATGTTACACTTTTTTCATGTCATGTATAGCAACAACTTATTTATTAAAACTTGCTTTTTTTTAATTCAATACATTACGTCTGTATATGTGTGTGCAGTATTTGTAGTTAAAATGACTCAATCTCATAGCAATAAATTTTCAAAAATTTTTGGGGGAGCACTCCCCCCCCCTAGAAATGTCATGCTTTTCACGTGTTTTACTCAAAAAATGCTTCCTACGGCAATGATAACTAAATACTCATATTTATTGCTAAGCATGTGTTCAAATAAGATGGGAAATAAATGCTGGTTTCGTTGTTCAGAAAACAATAGTTTTATTTCATTCAGCCGAAGTTAGACATAGTCAAGTGAAACTATATTTTTCATAATTGTATACCAGTTTTTATTTCAATAAAAATGAGCATACGAAACGCATTTTCTCTAAGTTTTGAAACTGTAAAATACATGACAATGAATAGTGTATCTGTACCTTTTACAGAACAACAAACACTGCTCTAAATATTGTCGAAAATTAGGATTAATTTTAGGTTACATGTGAGAGGGCTTCACGCGTTTCCACCAGCGTCTGACCCACCGATCGTTCAGGCGGCGCATTCTGATTTCTGAAGAAAGACGTCTGAGCAACAAGCGGGTCAACCGGGAGCTAAGACTGTTTGGAACAAGTTCACGTGCGGTTCTTCCATTTGAGAAAATACACAATAAATTTGCAATAAATATTAAAAACACATTCGTTATAATAACATTTAATTCAAATGATTTTATGTTACAGTTTTTAAAAAATTAATACCTTAATTTTTTAGCGAGTTATCCAATGTTAGATATCAACAAAATGTAAACTACTATAATCCAACAGAAATAATAATGATACGTATACTATTAGACTCCTTTACCATGATACTTACATCATTAGATAGAATATTCAATTTACCACAACTTTTATAGAAAGTGTTCTTCTCGCCAATGCGTCACAATTTTTAATATTTTAATGAAAGTAACCTTATAGACGTTTACAGTTAATGATCTTAATATGACGTCACTACTTAAAGATAATAAAAAAACAACCGCAACTTATGAAGGAATAAAATAGTAAAATTTGTTCTTTTGTTGGAGGAGGCTAAGGGCAATCTTGGTAAATTCATGCCCCTGAGCCATACCTCCACGTGGCTACGAGCTTTATCTGTACTTTCAAAATTTCAGATTAATAACCAAATAATCTGCTGCATAATTAAACCAAAGAAACCTTGCATTTTAAACAGAATGTGTAAATAATAATAATAATAAATAGTGCCATCTAGTGGTTGATTTCAAATCAACTTGCCAACCGTGATTCTAATAAGAGAAGATATGAAACAAAAATTCTAAGAAACTGGATATTTATAGAACTATTGTATTTCAAACTTACATACCTGATTTCTTATTTTACAATTTGCTGTTCGATAATCTCCATAAGGAACAATGATACTTTTGACTTTTACAGTATGTTGTTAAATAGTGGGATTTAGTTGAACATTGATTCGCTGTCAAAGCTTTAATTTTGCCTGAAATTCTCACAGAAGCTTTTTTTAACGAGGCTATAAATTGATTTATGGTCAATAACATTGCAGTCTGAAAACGTCAAGTTTAAAACCACAAAACAAACCAAAAGAAAAGCATACATTTCTTGATTAATAGGTGATATTATTATTCCTTATTATACGACATCGGGACTAATACATTAGGAAATAATTAAAGTAAGTTCGATGTTTTGCTTTCAGTGTCTTCAACGGGTCATAGAATGAAAACAAAAGAATTGTTTGAAAAGTCAAAGTACTGACTTTTTTAAAGCTTTAGGAATGAACATGAGTGACTCCGTCCTAATTTAAATACATTAAAGCTCAAATAAACAACGACGAAACAACTGCTGATATTAAACAATTCTTGGTTTGGTTGGTAAATTTCCGTACGTTTGGTGCTTTTCACTATCTTTGACGTGAAGAGAAAGCCAATTTAAAACTGGAAAAGAGTCATATGTTCAAAGACGTTATGATTTAAGTAACTGTCGACCGGAACTGTATGAAACAAACACATCTGAAAAGACTTTCGGCTACATGATGAGACATTTTCCCTTTTCAGCCCAAGGATTATTCTTCTTATCAGGAGCGTGGATTAATGGATCGGTTCTCTCGTTCTCTTCTATATACTCCCGTAACCTAGAATGTCACATAAAGACATTGTATATAAAGCAGCAACCACACAAGAACTAAGCAGGTAGAATATTCTATGTAAAAAGAAAACTACAGTAAACATATAACAACATGGCAGAAATAATGTTGTAAATATGTAAATATAAAAAATACAGTTAACAAAACTGTGTATCTCGTCGTGTGCCATCACTTATAAGGGATTAGTGTACTAAACTTTACACATTATAGAGGCTTCACTGATGTGACATTTAGGCGGTTCGTTTAACTATCATACATGATATACGTTTTTTAGGAGGTGGTTAATGAAAGTGTTACAAAACGCGACATTAATTTCTTGACCACCTAATACAAAGTAAACTACAATAAACATATAACAACGGAAAAGGTAATCTTGTAAATATATGAATTAAAACAAACACTGCTAACAACAACTAGTCAGGTAGAATATTTTATGTACAAAGTAAACTACAATAAACACATAACACGGCAAAAGTATTACTATAAATATGAAGAATAAAACAAACACAACTTCAAGTTACAACCCACATACGAAATCCGTGATGAACAACTGACACCTAAACCTAATAAATCAAAATGCCTACGAAATCTGCGATGAACTACTGATAGCTAGGCCTAATGAATCAACCACACATGAAATCCGTGACTAATAGATAGGCCTAGCCAAAGCCCTATATACGGAGAGTTGCGACATAGAGGGTCCCACAAAATGATGGTCACGGGGTTTATGGGTGCCATTTTGATACGACACGAAGGGATGTGCACGTAACAGACGGTGAAAGTTAACAGAACGTCTTTACCGTCTAAAATTACCGGTTGTTGTGCTTGGATGTGTACAGAAAATGAATCCAGAATGTATCGCTTTCCCTTTGATGTCAAAAGAAGGAAAATTTGGGAGGTGAAAGTGAATGGTGTCGGTTGAAAACCATTACCGTCTTCCAGGCGAGGTGAATAACGCAATGCAGGCTAGCCCCTAACATTACATATGGAAAAACTAACCAATAGATAATATTATAGTTATTCCCTAAGGTGTTAGAAAGTAAAATAGAGGGTCATCTTAAAAAAGCAATCCCATACAATTTATGATTGATTCAGATGTTCGAGCAATCAAAAATATCCCAGCCTAACGTTAGGCCTAACTATGATACAGAGAATTTTCTTTCGGAATACGTTTAAAGCAACCAAATTAAATTATTCTGTGTTGTCTACTTATTCATTTTTATAGAAACCAGTTATATTTTAACAATAAGTTATTTAAGAATGTGACATACAAATATTAAGCTAAGACATGTGGTTTCTGTCTTCGGATGTCCCCCTCATTCCTGGTTTGTAGTAGGCCTACATTTCATGCAAGGTTCGTAGAATGATGTATGTCAGTATAAATCCGTAAGAGAGTCAACTCAGTATCATGCGACACTACCGCCACTAAACCATAGGCTATCACATTTCAGTACCAGTTTAGACCCTTGAATTGTGCTCACTGCCAAAACAATATTGTGACAAAAATTGTTAGAAGGACCTAACATTATTCCACACACCTATTACATTGTAAACAGTCGTGTTTTTTTGCTGATAATGCACCCTTAATCGAACTTCAAGTTCAGCTATGATACATATACAGTGCGCATGTTGTCCCAGCTCTCCGTACATAGCGCTCTGGACCTAACGAATGTTGCCAACAGCCATCCTTCGGGTTTACAACACAACAATATTTATGCATTAATTCCCAACTTACTTAATTAGTCAGTACAATATTTAGAACTAATATAAACTGAAATTTTAAATATTTCAAATGACGCTTTAAACAGAAATAATATACAATTGTTTCTGTAAAAACGGTGTTCGTCTTAAATGATTTTACCTTCATTAAGACACAAGTAGAAAACAAAAGTGGACACCTAAAATTCTATTCTGGGTCGTTCTTTACATAACCATTAACAATAGCCACTAGGCTTATAGTTTTTAAGTTTGATTATTGAACAAAGTTTTAATTACAGCTCTTATCATTCTGACAAATGCTCAAGAAGTTTTAATATGTAATTATGACATCGCAGCCCTACACTCAGTTTCTGTAAAAATATATACATGTATATATAAAACAGTTAATGAAAATATAAATAATATATACATATATATCTACTATATAAAGACATACGTTTGTCACGCCGATATTTCGGCCGTTGTGGTACCGATCGACATGTAACTTGCACGAATCGACGGCAGTGAGAAACAAGTCGTTACTTTTAAAATACTCCATATACATATATATATATATATATATATATATATAATGAATGATGTGCTATACTTAAGGGTAGAGATTATACCATGTTGCCGGTTTGGTATTTAGGTCGCAACCTGGGAGGCTCAGGTGCAATTTAAACCTCTCCCCCCCCTCCTTTACTGATACATGCTAGAGAAAACTTCATGAAAACAAGCTAAGAACACATGATATTAGCCCTGTTTCTACTTCCCTTATCAGGGCCAAGTCCATGAATGTAATACAGTAGCATTTAGGGCTTCATCACCACTTCGCTTCATTTGATTATGAAAAACAATTCACTGGTAAATCATCACTTTCACTACATTAATTAATTAGCTGCGCATTTCACATAAAATACTTTAATCCAGGTAATGTAGTAAGTCCTGGTAATGGGTGATTATTGTTTTTTTATTGTGCACAAAGCTACACAAGGGCTATCTGTACTCTGCCCACCACGGGTATCGAAACCCGGTTTCTAGCGTTGTAAGTCCCCAGATGTGCCACTGGGGGCAAGGTGATTATTAGGTTTTATACAAGTAAGTAATTCATAACTGTCCTAATTATGTGTGGGATTATTGGTGTTTCTTTGCTATTTGTAATAGTAATGTGATGTCATATGTTTGTTTTGCGAATTTTGGTATTCTTGGATGAATTCTATAAAAGTGATTTTGGCTGTTTCTAAGATAGGGTTATGTGAAGAGACTGATTGCTGGTTGTCTGATTTTTATTTTTATTTGGGTGTTGTTCTGTAGTTGTTTTCTCATTTTTTATGTTTTTTTATTTTGTTCTTTTTTGTATATTTGGTGAGTGGACAACTTCTGCATAGGTATAAGTTTGGGGAATCTGAATGGTTGAAGTCGTTGGTGTTGGTAGTATGTTTTTTTGTTACTGTCTTTTGTGTTTGGTGTCTTTCATTTATTTGTATGTGTGTTTGTGCGGGTTTAATACCGTGATGTATGTAATATATCCTCTGTTTGACATCCTTATATTTAGGACAGCCTTTATAGTTTGCGTTGTGCTTTTTATTTGCAATTATAACATACAAGAGTTTCATTTTCTTTTTTTGCATTCGGTTATGTGACGGTCTCTACCCTGAATGTTTTACCCGCAGCACATTTCAATTTAAAAACGTTCAAATTAAAGTATGCTTCTCCAGTTCAATAGGCTAACATAGCCAAAACCAAGAAGTCAGTCCAAAAAGAAGACCCCGAAATTCATAATAAAATTCACTGCCTTTATCATCACAATTAATAATTTGCAGGGTCATGCAGTTGGCCAAGTAGGAATATGTCTTTGAGAATCAGTTTTTGCATGTTTCAATCTACAGGGATTTATGAAGAATAACATTTGAACACAAAAATATACAAAAGTCAAAATGCAAATCAAGCAATAATTAGAGAAGATGACTAAATATACATAAAATACTAGAAATAAGATAGTCATTCTCAATTTTGAGAAGCAAAATTAATCATTATCTACCCTCATATGATGGGCATTCATTCAGCTTGTATATATATATATATTGTCAAAAAGATTAAGCATTAATGATTGACCTTAAAGAAAACACGTGACATTGAGTGTAAATCTATAGACAAAGTCGGACTAAATATTTGTCACTACCATTTTCCACAAATATTGTCATTTGGCCTACAACATATCCCATCAGCTGGCATCTTTTTTCGTACCCATCTTATTAACGTTACCTGGACTGCGCACTGATAAATGTGTTGCGATGGGACTCCATAATTGGAGGTAGGAGAGCGGTCACCTAGTGACAGAAACCTTAAACAAAAATGTTGGTTTTTTTAAGCACCGGCCAAAATCAAAGATTATTGTTAGCGTTTTTCCAATGACACGAATAAGAACATTTCTTTAATTTATACAGACCTCCCAAACTATGTTTCATGGCTTTGAATAACTCGCATATCCGACTTGACTTCTTTATTCCTTAACCTGATGAGTCAAGCAATTATACATAATGTCGTGACTAACGACCAACATGATCAAGAGTTATCGATTAATCGATGTGGTGGTCCACCACAGTTCTGCTTCTAGTTCGCCTTGTCACGATTGATCAGCGGTGTGTCGCTTTTAGATCTATGATTTTCAAAACAAATGAAGTCAGTTGGTAAATCTAAGTCAGAAGGTTACGGTGCATATGTTCTTCTCGAAACACTATTTATTCAATTGTTTCAACTTAATTACTTTAAAGCCATACACATTTTCAATCCTACTTTAGCCAAGGCAGCTTGTTAAGAGCATTGACGTAAGCAGGTTAAGTAAAACTCTAAAACGCTGTTTCTCAACCACTAATTCGTGGGATTTTACGAAAACAAACAAAAGCTGGCAGAATATTCATCTGTAAATCATAATGTGTTGTTGTTTTTTATTGTACTTGCATTTTAGTGGTCAGTGACAGTTTGGGGAGGCGGCCCCTAGTATTGAAAAAGTTGAGAAACGCTGCTCTAGAAGGAAATACAAAATGCTCAAAGTGTAGTTAAATGTTCATTTAAGACCGCTTTTACATTAGGAAAATTGTAATAGAAAAAAATTATTTGTGGAGATTTAGCTGTATTATTATTCTGATAGATAACACATTAGTTTTCAGTTCTGTTAGACACAGTAGTAGCCTATAAAAACATCAATCCTCCATTCTCCCTCTTGCATACCTGTTATGGCTTTATGGAAGAAGCTTCATGAAAGTAGAGGCAGCACTTATACTTTG